GCTTGTAATCAAATTGAGGTGACGCAGTCTCCCTGCAAGCTTTTCACTCAAATGCTATATAGATTATACCAATATGTGTGGCTACTGACCAGCGCGCCAGGCACGCGCCTTTGCACGCTGTCTGCTTGCTACTAATCTGCCTCATGCCGGATACACCCGCCAACGGTCGGATATACCCCCACTGGAACAAAGCGTTCAACCAGTTTCTGGCCTTTCGAGTCATCCCACAGTTTTGATGGAAAAGTCGGAATGACAATGGTTAACGTAGATCAAGAGATATAATTAACAAGGGCTCCGGACGCGGGGGGCTATGCCCCCCCCCCGTCCTTCGTTTGCTCCACCGCTCTCCGTGTAAGGTGGACACGAAAGTTAATGAGAGACGTAAAATGTTACTAGTGGGAAGCTCTTGACCTCGTTGTGGAAATATGCGGTATAAAAACTACTGGGTTGGGGTGTTGCGTGTGTCTGTGTGTTAGGTATTTTTCATTTTTCAGGTTTGGCGACGCGATAAGACGTAAAATGCATACCACGTGGAAAGCTCTTGACCTGGTTATGGAAATATGCGGTATAAAAACTGTTGGGTTAAGGGTGTTGCTTGGGTTTGTATTTTTTTTTTTGTGTTCAGGATTGGAGACGCAATAATTCTTTTCGTTTAGTTTTTTTTTAAGACACCCCGGTGCGATCTCTCCGACCGGTGCGATCCCCGATGAAATACACACAGGTGTTGTATGCACGCACCCCGGTGCCATCTTACTAGTATTGATATCAGTATGGAACCAAACGTGTAGGTACCGGTGTTGCTGGTTGGAAGCACACCAGTATTGGCAACGTAGGCTGGTACGTTACCGCTTTCCATGCAGCAAGTGGTCTTGTGTTCAGCAAGCATCTCGTCGCGAGCGCACTGTTACTGCAAAATGCGAGTTCGGCTGTGGCTTGACGACAACAAACAATGTCGTTTCCATCTGAGGTACCGGTATATACGGTATTAGTTGTCTCCCGCTTTCGTTTCGGGCAGCAGTACGTAGTTTTTTCGTGTTGTGTAAGGTGGGGTAGGTCGCGGCTTGTACGTTGTGTGTTTGGTTGAGCGTACGCTTGGCAACTTCCATACCAATTAAAAACGAAAACTACTGGCATCCCGCGTGAAACCGCGTCCATGCATTCGTACATATACGAGTGGCGCTCCGCTGACACCGTCCCCACATGTAAATGTACGCGCATGTACCTCATTCCGGCAGCTGAAAAGGAGCTCAATCTTGGGTGCGATCTCACCGACCCCGGTGCGTATATCGAATTATATCATGCCGTTCTGGTATGTTCTTGCGCACCCCGGCGCCATGTCTCCGACTATTAGGGTAGTACAGAAAAGCCTACACAGCCCACGGCGTGGTGAGCGGTGGGGGATCACAGAGGAAGCGACTGTGAATACAGAAGTGCTGAAACCTACACAGCCGTTCAGTTGTCAAACCGGGGACCTACACACAGAGCCGGATTAAATTAATGTGAAAAACCTCTACGCAAAGCGGACGGCGTGAGCAGTGGGGGTACACAGAGCAAGCGACGGTTTGAATTAAAAAGTACAGAAACCTACAGCCGTTCAGTTGTCAAACCGGGGACATACACACGGAGCCGAAAAAAAAACAATTTTCAAGTCAAAAAAGCAATTTCCAACATCGGGCAGACGATACGATTATTTGCCGCAGACGTGGAGCTGTAATCTCACCGAAGGTTGATGTGTGTGGTGATGGGTGTGACGCCCTCTTCACAAAACCACCGATGGAACAAAGAGTGAACAAAAGGTATGTGATATTTCGTATGTATTCGTACGGGCAATGGAATATTTATTCATTTAGAATAGTAATTAATAGTGAGAGTCTCACCGAAAATGTAGTGTAATGATGAGCGAAATTACACACCTAAAAACAACACAATAATGCTAACTCACCGAGAGTTGATGTGATTATGACTGTGGAACAGAAAGGTATTATGATACAGCACCAACTTGACAGCCTTGAGTGGTGATGATACGGGCAAGAATCAAATATTTGTTTGCTAAAAAAAATGTGAAACACCACCACGAACTTGACAGCTTTGATGGGTGGACAAAGCTTTTGATGCATAAAAAGCACCCACAGATTCGTATCAATCGCGCTGCGCGTCGGATATGGATGTGAGATGGATGTGGGTGGAAGAAACACTACGCTCAGCAGTGACTGGCGGTGCATCCAGGCTGGATGAAAGACACGCACCACAAAACATCAAAGTTCTCTCTACGCAACGAAACCCCGACACGACGAAAGTACGTACACAAAGATGTTAGTTCGGAGCGGAACACAGCAGTGTCTCGTCCAATCAGCGTCGCGAATCTTAATCGTATGCGCTCGGTAGAGCTCTATTAGCGTGACTGTGTGACGAATTGATTGAGCTGTCGCTTATTATTTTTTTCGTTTTTTCGGGGGAGAAAAAGCGCTCGGGTGGATGTCGTCTCGATCTTGACACGTTTTGTTCTCCCTCCGCTCTTTTCCCTTGTTTTGCGTTCAAAATAGATCGGACGGGCAGAAGAAATAACTTCCGAGGAATACTGTGACAGGAGGTAGCCATACATGTGCACAGAATCGCTTGTGGCAGTTGTGGGCGGCAACATCATGTTCCACCTAAAAACAAATGCATACAGCAGCGATAGCGACATATTTTTTCGATGTTTCTCTCGTTTGGTGATGCGGTGACATGACGTTGGTTCTCTCTTGTTTCAGTTCCGAGAATCAATGTGACAAGGGTCAACGTCAATAATTTATTCGTCCACCTCGTCACCGGATGGGAGAGCAGCCCTGCGCCATCCGTATCGTGGGCGCCCGCGGACAGGCGGCGGCGGCGGAGGGGGGAAGAATAGCGGGACGCAGATGGGACCCCGGACACGTTGGCTCTATTTTTCCCTAAATGCAAGTTGGGGGTCTCCGCCGCCACTAAAAAAGTTGATGTGATGCGATGTGACAGACATGTCACACGAAGTGAGGCTGTTTTTTTCTACGCTCACAAACGTCCGGGCCGTTCCCTCTTGTCGGTGACCTCGCGTGACCAAAATCTCTATTAGACGGAAGCCTTACGGCTTGCCTCGTCGAGCTGACGGAATCGCGGCAGCTTCAGTGCAACGCAACGTTGAAATCAAGTGATTTTTGAGCGCTATGTCAAACCAGGTCATATTTCGTCAGGCAGGGGTGAGAAATGAACAAACGAGCCCTACTCAAAAACCAAGTCATTTTCAGCCCGGAAGGGAGAGACTAATAATGTGATTGGAACATTTCTCACACACAAATCTCGCCATGCACATAGTGCCCCACTACTGTGCAGCATGCGCCCTTGTACGTGCCACTGCAGGTCGCGTGCTGAAATTTCTAGAGGCGAAGCGTGACTGTCCGTGCTATATGAGCTATCATGTGGTGTGCACCAGGGACCTATGCCAGATGAGCAGAAAACAGGGAGCAGGTTGTCACCAAAGGGGTGCGCGAGCGGGAACGACGAAGTCGGGAGAGGGGCACCGCAGGCACATATGCGTCTGGATTTCGGCAACACACAGCACGTTGCACACAGAGAAGGAGGGACATGTGGGACATGGAAGCAGCGCGCCGCGCGCTGCTGCTGCTCCTGCTGTCAGTTCGGGGCACAGCTGTATGTAGCAGACAGAGGCTAGCTAGCAGCACAAAATACAACGCGGCAACTAAGAAGATATTTTGCAGCAGTATGGTAGTGGTAGTAAGGGCCCGCAGTGAACAAATATATTAAAAGGCGTAGAAAAATTTCATGACAAACAAGAAAATAGAACATAGGGTTGATAAACACAGCTCAGCGGTGGATCCTATGCCAAAAGCTGTCATCACAACCCCAACAGTGGGTAGCGCGATGAAACAAGACCCGATTTTTCACGTTGCGAGCCTGTACTGCTCCTATTCCTTCTGTATCACAAGCAACCGCGGATCTCAAGGCGGCACCGCCTTTCTACAAGCTCGTGTAGTGCACCTGGAAATAGTGAGGAGTCGTACAGCAGTACACAGCAGCAGCAGTAACCTTCGTAGTAGAACATACTTGGAAGTATATACAATGGGGAAGCAGTCGTGGGCACTCAAACGTCTATGCTCAAGACATGTGAGAGGTAATATATGGCCTCACACCCTGTCCTGACCCGAATGTGTCTTCACCGGGTGTGTAATACTTCACTGTAATCCCGGTTGGGTCTGCTGATACAGTGTATCGGATGTGTAGCGCTGTGATTCGTGATTCATGACAGGGAAAGATATCACGTGAATCCGTGGATGGTTGTAGCTAAAAGTGCAGCTCCGGCCGTGTTACCACCAAGTTAATCTTCGAACGTTTACAGGACAACGAATACCAACTCGGACAGTATATTCTTACTTCGTTTTGCTTCATTCGTGAAATCGTTTTTTTTATTGGGCTGTGCTCCAAGACCCGGCTTCTCGTTGGTTACTTCTTTAACTTGATATCAGCTTCCACTCATGGAGATTTGCTGTTGTTGCGAGGGACAGTTTTCTTTCCTTGCGTCGCGCATCCCTCAAGTTTGCGCCCCCGTGCGATAGCATCAAGTGCTTCAGTTCGACCCCCACTAGGCATCGAAGCCAAGGCAGGCAGCCTTCACATACTGATATGCCTTCGGTGGTCGCTAGCTGTGAAAACTAAAACTGTTCAAAAGCCGTTCATCTGTCCTGCATCTGTGGAGCCGGTAGAGCAACTGTCGACCTCGTCACTTAATTTGTTATTCGTCTGCGATGCGTGTGCAACGATGCGCAACCTTTTCGCCCAAGCCCGACTTGCGGAGACACAAGCTTTGGCCTTTCACGAACAAGCATCTCGACAACAGCAGTCTTGAGAGATGGTACACCGGCTTCGTCTAACCGTTGCTGATAGTGTCCGTTCGTGCGTGTTCTGTTCCTGTCTCTCTTGGACTGCACTGTTTGCTACAAAAATGGCACCATACGCTGTTGCTGCTGCCAATGCCGCGGTCTCCGCTGCTCGTGATATCTCCTGTTCTTCGCACGCTCGTGCCTCTGCTTCGCCAGGCACGGACAACTTGCTGCAGGTGAGTGGGCTCAACGTGTTTCTCAGTAGATGGTTTCAATTGCTGTTGTTGTGGAGGTCTGGCATCCGTTTGAAACCGTATCAAAACGTTCTGGGCTGCGTTCGTGACCGACTTCAGCGTGTTTATGCATGGAGTTGGACGCCGCAGGTGCCGCACCGAGACCCACGGCTAGGCTGGGGAAAGTTCGATCGATTCCTGCTCCAACATTAGGTTTAGCCTCTGTGAGTGGTGCTGTCTGCATGAAACTGAATTCGAAATCCGTGAGTGGTTCCCACCGAGGGAGGGCTATATATAGTCGTACAAAGCGGCCTCATCAACAGTGCAGTGTACCTGAACATAAATCATCGTAGGGTGCAATCTTTGAGACTGAGTTCTGAGCCTTTGAATGTCCCGCAGCAGTAGCGGTATGGTTCGGGAACACGGGCCCTTGCCTCAACAAATGATGGAAATAAGCGTTAAATCACGGTATTCTTAAGCGCACGTACTAAAGTGCAATGCTGGGATCCGATTTTGTCCATTAAACGTCTTGTCGTCGTGGTCTTACACCTGTATCGTTTGTGACGTCAAATGAACTGCGTTTAACCCTCCTAGTACTGGAAGCTCAAATGGGGACACTTTGGGCGGACAGCACTCAAATTCCTGTTTATTATGCACCGCGGTCGTCACTATGCCCCGCTGCGTAAAACGTGCTTGGGAAACCTTGGTCCCATGCTTGTGTGAGGTGGCTGTGTACTGCCTGTGTACCTCTCCTGGGCCTACACAATCTCCCAAGCCGCGGGTCCCCTTGTTGCTAGAGGGCACGTGGATTCAAATAAGTGAAGCACCCCCCCCCCCCCCCCCCCCGACCATTTTTTTGGGCACCTTATTGAGTTTGGTCAAGGCTTTTATTGTATGCAAGTAGGGATTAGTATGGTTATCAGTAAAGTCTATATATTCCATATTGTGTTGGCTGTTACTGTGACTCAGAATTAAGCCCATACAAATTAGAGAGAGGTGTATAGGCGTCGTGATTACACCAGGGAGGGGTGATGGTGCACAGGAAAAGCCCGCTCCATTAGCAGCTCGGTACACACAGCGACGTACACCTACCCACTGCACACCACAACAGCCAGGCTTGGGGTGTGGTGTGTTGTGGGAGAATAGGACAGGATTGGTCAGGGTTAGACCCTTCTTTATGGAAACATAATATGCAAATATATCGTGGCATTTTGACCCAAGATTTGCTCACAATATATCTCCACGAAGATTTGCAGTATCGCGATTTATGGGGGAAATATCTTGAATGTTGAAAAAGCGGCGTGTTGTTCCTCTCTTGTGCTTGAAGTTGATAAAGGCACAACGGCCACTTGGTCCATAGAAAATGCCGAGGTGTGGCGAAAAGTGAGCATGACGCAGTTGTACAAGGGGCGTCCCCCCCCGAGTTGTATTGCGTCAACACTGTGGGTGGATACTAGCGATGGGCGCCTACCTGGGGTGCAAAATAGAAGCCGTTTGCCCACGAGCTCAGCCAAGCGGAGAAACAAAATTGTTTCATTGCTCTCCAACTGACAAGAAAGTGCATCAACCCGAGGCCGATGACACCCATGCACGTATCTCACTATGTAGCAGGCGTACCGAGGTCAAACCTCCGGCGCTGTCATCTGCACTCACGGATTTGGCTTGGGTGCAAACGGTTTGGGTGTGGGGTGATTCGATGAAGAGATAGAAGCATCGCACACGACAGAGCAGTGTTGGCAAAACGTCCCTCCTCCTCATTTTTTCTACTTCAAAATAAAGTACTCTTTGAACGGTCCCTCGACAGACTGGTGATGACGCACGTGGAACGAGCCCGGGCAAATACGCATTTTTTTCGACCGCCTTGGTTGTTTTCGTTCGCTGTCGGCGCCCGTGGCGCCGACACAGTGACGCCAGGGTACGTTAGAGACCCTTGCGAGTGTTTGATAGGTTTCAGAATTGGTTCGCCAGGCTTTGTCAGCGCGGAACGCGTCCCCGGGGTTTTGAGCCAGTTTTCGCAACTTTGGCCGTCAACCACATGCGCCACGGAGGCATGCCAAGCTCCGGGCACGGCGTTAATGTACCGACGAGCCTCCTGCGTTCCCCTGAGAAGGAACCGCAAGAAAGACTCGCTGCCGCGAGAGAAAGAAACGCCGAACCATGAAAAGTGACCAATCTTACATGTACATATAGTTTAGAGGCTTTTCTACTACACCACGCTCAGACTCCCAAAGTCTAAAACCCGCACAGCAGTAAGAGGTTTTGTATAGGTTTGTGCATCTAGCCATACTAACTCCTATATACAATGCAGAACACACAGGATACAAGGTCTCCCTTCGGGACGTGGGTGATAAGCCTCCCGCGGGTGACGCAAGACCACATGCTCATTGCCCGAAGAGGAACTGTTGTGTATCTTATTTTCGATGGACAGTTATTTTACCCTCGTATTTCGTACAAAACGGACATGTATTCGACATTGAAGCCAGCTTGAGCGGACAACCAACTTGCCAGCGAAAAATCAGACGTCGTCTACATAGATTGTCGTCTTGTGATGATGGCAGATTTCCAATGAGAACCCACAAACAAAACATGTCAAACACTGCGGGTACCGGCGCCAAGACTTGTCTACAGCAGCAGCGTTTCACCCGCTGCGAAGTGTAAACGAGCAAACTCAGGTACTGTTGGACATTGCGATGGCACGAAGAGTCACAGGGATGCGGAATCAGCGAATGAATGAATGTGGAGATGAAGCAAGAGGCAAACATTTGAAACTGTCGTTCTTGATGGGTTTCACAATTTGTTCGCCACGCTTTGTCTGCGCGGAACGCGCCCCCGGGGTAGAACCAGTTTTCGCAACTTTCCCTGTCAACCACACGCGCCACGGAGGCCTGCCGAGCTCCGGGCACGAGCGTTAAGAGAAGGAATCGCGAGAAAGGACTCGTTGTCGCGAGAGAAAGAAATCCCAAGGCATGAAAAGTGACCAAATCTTGCTACATCATGCCGGAAGCCTGAGACGCAAAAGTTCAACCGTTATCGCACTCTAAAAGCAAGACGCTTTTTTCGGTACATCAGTCCGCGGTCGTCTTTAGACTTTTTTTTTCGGCGGTCGTTGCACGCTGCAGCGGGACAGTCTCTACATCACAACTCCCCTGTCACAAGCTCGAAACTCCTAAGGTGAGTAGAGTTACAGCACGGTGAATCCCCGCAACCATATTTTCAGTCATTGAGCTAGACGTTGCGGTGCGGTAAATCGGTTTATACATTTTTATCGGCCGTCTTCGCCGACGTGGGCGTGCCAATCTTACGATCACAGCGCCCCTGCCGCAAGCTCGAGACTCCAAGGGCGAGCCGAGTTACAGCACCGTGAAGTACGACTAAATCTCCTGCATCCAGGCGCTTCTACGAAAGGGACTGTCTGTCAAAAGAATAACGTAGCCCATTGGACAAGATTTCGGAGAACTCCGTGGTCTTTACTACAGTGCACAGCTGACAGAATACATGTATGTACAGCAAGAGATATTGATTGAGACTGCCGTCCGTATGTGGTATGTGTTGTAGGTGGTGCCCCCACGCTGCATGCATGCATGCTGTCGGCTTCTCTAGCGTAAGCAACGCTAACTGAAGTCACGTAGGTGTGCATCGTGTATCCTCATGGAAACGTATATATGCCTGAAATACATACCCTCCAAGTTGCAAGTACAGGTGGTCTACTGCTGTAGGAAGGAACCAGCATATTTTCTTTTTTTGGTGGTACGCCACAGGGTGCTTGTGCTTCGAGTTTTTCGAACATACTGCATACGTGCACATCTCACGGAACTGCAAGTAAGTTTGTTTGTCTCCTGTAATACTTTCAACGACGCTGTACTATTGAGAAGGTGCTGCTGTAGCCTATTCACTACCATGTACAGGTGAACGGTAGAGAGAGTATACGTACGTTTGTGGGGTGTGTGCCACCTACAAAGAAATACAAAGCATTCCCTGCCTGCCTTTCACAGGTGAACGGTCGTAGATCAAATTTTAGTCATACCACCACTACATCACATTTCGTGGATACCACACTTTTCTGTGTTGAGGAATTGGACCCGGTTGTTTGTCTATTGATTGTTGTGGTACGCCACAGCTTGTGCTTTGAGCTTGACGAGTTCGGACATATGCATGCATGCCCATCTCACGAAAAAAATGCTTCTTCACGGACCTGCAAGTTTGTCTTCTGTAATAATACTGTCGACGATGCTGTAGTATTGAAGGTAGGTGCTGCTGTAGCCTACCATTATACATATACAGGTGAACGTCTTTTCCAGCTTTGTGCCCTTGGTATGCTGTGCACAGTCTTCGCCCACCACCCTTCCTTTCAGCGTAATGCTGAGCTGAAGGCGAGGGCGCCTGGCGCCCGAGCCTGGAGACCTTGTATATATGTCTATGCGGTATATCACAGACCCCCTGATCTGGTCCTTAATCCAGTTGAGTGAAACTGTTCATAGCGCAGTACTGGAAAAATTGCGTGACTTGGGTTGAGCACGGAAAGTGTCCCCTTTCCACACTGAAGCCAAGTCACCCCTTGGCCTTCAGGACTATGCAGCCTCTCTCAATGAGCGAACGCGATTTTTTCTGGACCCATGACCTGTATCGCATGACCTGTAAGAGGGTTTATTCACACATCATAACGGCGACACCTTGTCGGAGTTGCGCCGTTCACAGCTACATGTTTGGCGTTTGTTCGACGCTTGGATCTCAGCTCAACGGATAATATGCAACAATCGCGTCTTCCGACAAATGTCTGCGCATTTCCATGTGTTTACACTTGCTGCCATGACAAAACTGGTTGGTCATTGTCTGCAGACGGGAGGTTAATTTTTCGTAATTTCACGTCATACCGGAACGTGTTTATAACGGGATTGTTCCGCCGTATTAATTTAGGGGTGATGTGGTCGATTGCTGTTATGAGGTCGGAACTGTTGATGATGCATGCACACCTTATGAGGGGTGCGCAGCTAAGAAGCCGATTGTAGGCTGTGGAATATTTTTTTCTTTGACTCAAATATCTGTCAGGGCTGGATATTCCGATCCTGCACAAGGTTGGTTTCTGCCCCCCCCCCCCCCTAAAACAAACTGTATTGTTTTTTAGGCCGGCAACGATTTCTCTAAGCTCACTAAAGCGGCACGCACGAGAACACGCCG